CGCGAAACCTTAAATTAGAGTGAATAAATGAAGACTCGGCACACCACTTCTGAAAGGTTGCTGACCCCTGATATAGAGTATCGGCTTTAATAAATCCTCCCTTAAGGCATGTGTCTGTCTGAACCATGTGCTCCTCTGCATCTGTCAGCTTTCCCACAGCCCTTCATTTAAAAACTCCTTTATGACCTTTTTAATTTTACGTCTGGTTCTGTTTTGATTTAGGTGGAGCCCATCCTTCCTATAGAGGCTCCTCCTTTCCCAAAAGGTTCCCCAGTTCCTAGTAAACCTAAAGCCCTGCTCCCAATACCATCATCTCATCCATGCATTGAGACCCTGTCTAACTGACTCTATGTGTGGAACTGGAAGCATTTCAGAGAATGCTACCATGTAGGTCCTGGACTTTAATCTCTTACTTACCAGTCTAAATTTTAACTCCAGGACCTCTTTCCTACCTTTCTCTATGTCTTTGTTACCTACATGGGCTCCTTCCCAGCAAAGCACATAAGCCTGTCTAGATGTCTTGAGAGGTCCACAACCTTCGCACCCAGAAGGCAATTCACCATGTAATTCTCCCAGTCATCATAAACTCAACTATCTATATGTCTAATAATCAAATTCCCCATTACTATTATCTGTCTCTTCCTAATAACTGGGGTCCCCTCCCCCAGAGGGGTATCCTCGGTCTGAGAGGACACCATGACATCATCTGCAAGGAGTGTCCCAACTATGGGATCATTTCCCTCTGCTTCAGCTTGATGTTCTCCTTCCCCAAGACTTTCATCCTCCTCAATAGTACGGAAGCTGTCAGACTGTGGGTAGGACTGCTCTGCTGTGTCCCTGAAAGTCTCTTTGATGTACTTCTCTGCCTCCCTTAGCTCCTCCAGATTAGCTACTCTGGTCTCAAGAGCTAGTACTGGTCTTAAAGGCCATGAGTTGTTCACACCAAATGCATACATCTCCCCACGAGACTGGTAATCATGCATGCTGCATTCAGTGCAATAAACTGGATAGCCCCAACTCTGCTGCTGGACTTGTGCCTGCATTCTCTTTTTACTCCTGTGGGGGTTTTTTTTTGGTGGGGATGGAGGGGGTATTGGCCTGAGTTTAGAGTATGTTTGTTAGGTGTATCTGCCTCTCATGTTCTCTGTTTAAACATCCTCACAAAACTCCCCTGTTCACTAGTTCCTCCGATCATTTAGGTGCTGGCTTTTTAAACCCCTATTCTCCCTGAGTTTGCCCCGCCCCTTGTCAAGGGATCATAGGATAGTAGGCTAAAGCCTGGTTTGTAAACTCTAAGCTTAGCCTAGCAGGCCGTTTGGTTCAGTGCACAGCCTCCAGAACAGACCACACTATCAACTTCAAACATGAAAGCACACATCAAACAACAAACTCATCCCAAGGGTCTTCACCTGGAGAACTCCCTCGCAAAAATCCTGTTTGCTAGCACCTTGCTGCTGTATTGCCAGTCCTCAGATTGGTAGAGGGAAGGGAAGTTAATGTGAACATGTGTAATTTTTGGAATAGGGTAAATCAAGGGCATTTTAAAAATGTTGCTAAAGCCTTGGGCAGAAAGTCTTCAGGAAAAATGGTGCAAGCACTGAATTTGAACCAAAGAGCACCACGCGCTCAGTGATGAGTCTCAATGAAATCGGCCTGAATAGCTGGGAAGGCAGCAAAAAAATAGCAGGAATTGAATGGCCACCTGCTTACACAACTTAAGAAAGAATATTAACCAATGCATAAACTATTTCACAAGTTCTTCCTGAGCTGCTGACTATCATGCAAGGCATAGGTGCTCCTTATTATTATTAAGCTTGTTTATTAGTACCCTAAGGATCCACCAAGAGTGGAGCCCCATTGTGCTAGGCACTGTACAAACACAGTAGTAGAAGGTCCCTGCCCCAAGGAGGTTATAGTCTAAATAGACAAGACAGATACAGGGTAGAAGGGATAGAACACACCAGCAGAGGGAACAATGGAATGGCAGCATATGGCATGTCGGTGCTATGATTTTATTTATGGGGTGTGTGCCATTAGAAGGGGATAACCTAAGGGGAAAGAAATGAGAAGGGAGAGGGGACACTGAAGGAAAGGGAGGTGAGGGGACAGGGCAGGGGGAGAAGAGGGTAAGAGGTGAAGAGACTGTAAGAGAAGTGGCGGGAGAGGGCTGGAGCAGACAGCCAAACAGCACAGGACAGAGAAAGTCCAGCCAAGACTGTAGAGCTCTATGAATGTCTGAGGGTCCATGCTTTAGCTGCTTCTGTAGCTGCTCTTACTCAGTGTAGTCTCCGGCTGGTTCCTCTCTGCAGTTTTCCCTCAAGGCCATGTGGTTGAGGGGCATCACCTTGTGTCCTAGTTTACCTTGAGTGTGTGTGTGGGGGGGTGTTTTCCCTTCACAGTTCTGGATCATGGAAGGGTTCTGGGGGACAAGTGGCTCTGGGTGGACACATCATACTCCCTCCTCCCTGTGCAGCAGTCCCTGCTTTGGCTGCTTCTGCAGCTGCTCCTACGGGCTGGAGTCTGGATGAGCCTTGGTTGACCACCTCCCCGTTGCCATTCCTCCACCAGCATTTTGTATACACTATGGATCTTCTTTGGATAATGTTTTTGAGGCACCTAACATTTCAACACCAGCAGTCTGGGCCTTATAATTGCAGTAGACCCAGTTTATAGATTCATAGATTCTAGGACTGGAAGGGACCTCGAGAGGTCAGTGAGTCCAGTCCCCTGCCCTCATGGCAGGACCAAATACTGTCTAGACCATCCCTGATAGACATTTATCTAATCTACTCTTAAATATCTCCAGAGATGGAGATTCCACAACCTCCCTAGGCAGTTCTGTGGTCAGTTTGGTAAGGATGGTATTCTTCAGGCTGTTTTCCTGTTATTATTGATGATGATGATTAAGGATCAGATTTTGTCAGGGATATTTTTAGTAAAAATCATGGGCAGGTCACGGCAATAAACAAAAATTCATGGAAGCCCGTGACCTGTCTGCTTTTTACTAAAAATATTCCTGACAAAATGGGGAGGGAAGACAGCACCCACAGCAGCTGGGGGCTCTGGGGTCCCCTCGCGCCCCGCCAAATGGCTAGCAGCTGCGGGGTCCCCTCACCACCAGCCGGGGCTGAGTAGCTACGGGATCCCCCCCCACACAACCGCCACTGCTGGGCAGCAGCGGGGGGCCCTGCCGCCCATGGGGAGTGGGAGATCCGGGGTCCCCTTGCTGCCTTCGGTGGCTAGAGCTGTGGGGGGTGGGTCCCCTGCAATCCTCAGTGGCTGAGCACTGCGAGGTCCCCCTGCTGCCCAGGGGCCAGCACTGGCTTAGAGCTGCCAGGCTGCCTGCTGACAGCTCCAGCCCCAGGGCAGGAAATGTCATGGAGGTCTCTGGAAGCCACGGATTCCGTGACTGCCATGACAATTCATGACATAATCATAGCCTTAATGATGATCCTGTACTGTGGAGGGGCGTGTAATACAATTATCTCGTGTACCTGTGAAGCAATAATCACATTATAGTAATTTGCACACAGTAATTCCTTTGTTTCTGTAGTTTTCATAACCATAGTCTGTGGCATGTGCCTGTGAAACTGCAAAGGCGATGCATTGTTTTTTGACTGAAAATATTTACATGAGGTAACAACTACAACCCAGGCATGTACACTTTTCCTTAGGTTGTCATCAAATGCGTAAATCTGTAGCTTTTAAATAAGCGTATGGGTAAGATTCCACTGCACAACAGCAAAGGGATGAAGCCAATGGGGTTACGTGCATTAAACAGAGGACAATTGGAATAGGAGAAAGGGGTGCCAACTAGAAAGAGGGATATAGGGGAGCGAATAGGAGTAAGGGGAGGGCTGGTTATAGTGGGAAGAGTAGTCAGGTGGCAAGGGGAAGGTTGAGTGAAGGACAGAATGGATGGAAAATGTCAGGTGAAGCTACACACCATAGGTAATGCAGAGCGAGGGCTGGGGTGGTCAGGTAGAGGGAAAATCAATCAGGGATAGCATGGCTGAGGGAGGGAACTGAAGAGGAGCCAAAGAACATAGGTGCTGGAACTAGGGGTGCTGCAACACCCTCTGACTAGAAGTGGTTTTCTTTATATACAGTTTGGTACAATGGCTTTCAGCACTCCGGCTATAAAAATTGTACCAGTACCCCTGCCAAATGGGTAGGTTCAGGAAGCTGGAAAGCCAAAATGGGGAGAGGAGCTGAGGGTGGGATACAGAAGGATCTGTGAGAAAGCCGGGCATGATCCTGGAGCCGGGGTCTGAGCAGGCTTGGGAAGGAGCAAAGAAGCTTGCGGCTTGAATTAGGAATGGATTGTAAAAGTGGCTGGATGATTTTATGATCAACACCAGTTATGCTGCCAGCATAATGTTAGCATAATAATACACGTGACCATAAATCGTATGCTCCTCGGCATCAGCTGATCTGATCTCTGGAGCCCTCGGAAAGGAGTAATACCCTCCCCTCCCTACCACTGCACAAGTGGCTAGGTGCAGGGTTGTTTTCTTCTCTTGCCTTCCTCAGACACATCCTGGTTGGGCCAGGGCTGCAGGCTGGATACAGGACTTGTGGAGCCACTGATGGGCATGGAATGTTCTTGGTGTTGCTGAACTGGCACAACAGGACCAGCATCGAACCAGTTTTAGTAACTAGTAATAACATCCAGGGGTGTGGGAGGCACCCGCTCATTCACCCTGTGGTTGGGCTTTGGAGGGGGCGGGCCAGGGGAGGAGGTTTGGGGATGACAGCTGGCTGCTCATGAGGCTGAAGTAGGTTCCCTGTTCCTAGGGAATTGGGAACCGGCGGAATTCGGAGCCACCTCTTGGCTCAGCCCGTGCGTGCAGGGCACAGCCCCACCGCGGTCACAGTCCCGAAATTACAAGGCGGCGGAGTGGGTGGGAGCCCGCAGAGGGCGGGAGAGGGTTCCCCTGCCGGGAGGGTGCCGCATCTCTCGAAGCCTCAATTAACCTCGCTGCAGTGTGTGAGCAAAACAAAAGAGAGAGGGCGCGGCGGGAGAGCTGTGCCGCTCGGCGGCCAGCAACCAGCCCCTGCGGGGCACCCGCCAGGCCGGGGCGTGATGCTGGCTGCGCCGCCCAGCAGCTTCCCGCCTGCAAGGGGCAGGGCTCAGGTGAGCCGATCCGCGGCTGATCGGTGGGAGTAGGACGAGGATCCCCCTCCCGGCTCTGTCTTGCGCAAGGGAGGGCAACGTGCGAGCCACCCCGAGGCTCCCGGCTGTGGCAGCTCCTCAGGGGAGGAGCCAGCCGGCACCCCTGGCTTTATAGCGCCGGCTGCCGCCTCTCCACTGAGCTCCTCTGCGCCGCGCGCGGGCAGTGCGCTCGCCTTTCCCCGTTCCCAGCCGCTGCCCGCGCTCCGAGCGGGCCGGGGTGTTTCCCAGGGTCCAGACCCTGCCGGCAAAGCCACCAGGGAGCCTGAGCTGTGCAACGGGAGCCTGCCTGCCCCGGCCACACTGTCACCCCAGCAGCTGCGGGGAACGGTAAGGGGCGGTGGGAGATGTGGGGTGGCCGTGTTCTCACGGGACAGGTGCGTGTGTGTGAGAGAGCGCGCTCCCGGGGACAGGTGTGTGTGTGTGTGTGTTGGCTCCCACATTGTAGTTGGGGGGAAGAGACTTTTTGGACCATTAGATAGTGTGTGTTTATAAGGTGCAGAGTGCGTAGGCATGGGAGAACAGAGGTTATGGCAGAGCAAGGGGCCGGCCAAGGAGTGGGAAACCATCTCAGAAAAGTTCTGGTAGGTAGGTTATTAAAGAAAAGCTCCATTTATGATCTTGGCTAATGATGCTTTGGGTTTCATTACAAACATAGGTGGATCGTTATGAGAACTGCTTATTGTGTTCAGTGATCACAGCTGGAGATAAGCTGGCAGAATCAAAAGTGTGTGTGTGGCGAGAGAGATGCTCATATGCTTGGTACTTTTTTTTTTTTTTAGCTTCCTCATTTTTGGTTGAATGACACTTGCGCACTTTAACTGTTTGTTTGTTTTACATGACTTATACACTTGAACCTTTCCTAATAAGGTTCTAGCCAGTAATGCTGTATTTAGGGATGGGTGAACCTGGAGAAGGTCTAAAGATTCAGCCACAAGTATATGGCCTGTGGATTTTTTTCCCCCTGGGAAACTATTTTCTTTTTACCTGCTGTCCTACCCTAAATGGAATACAGGCCTATAAAATGCTCTGCAAACAAAAGCTAAGGCATTCTAAAATTCTGTATCCTAATGTTATTGGTAGTCCCATCCCTGCATCTTGTGACTAAACTTTCATCTTGAGATCACATGTTCTTATTTTTTTAAATGATAAAAATATGTATATTTCTCCCCATTATGCAGTTTGCAAAAAGATGTTTACAGTACTTTCCCGCCAGCCCTGTCAGCAAACAGGTCAGTACCTAAAATAGGTTGGCAATAGCTGTTTCAAGTCAATTATAGAAATGCATCTCAACCTATAATATATGTTTACATTTATATAGATGTATATTTAACCTTCATATTTCAGTAGCATGAAGAGGTTTAGTCACTGAGCCAACTTTCCTTTGCAGAAAGTGATTATTTTTATCTACAGTAAGCTATAGGAAATGAGAAAGTGTTCTTTCTTTCAAATGTGTTCCTGTGTGGTCCATTATATTTAATTTAGGAGGGACTGAAAGTTGCCAGTATTTATTTTATCACTTGTGCCAGAATGTTATTGTTTTTAGTAATGAACAATGGCACTTTAATATTTCATCAACATCTTTTTAAATGATGTTGTTGGCTCTTTGCCTAAAATCCACTAGAGTGAGCCAAATTCTGCTCTCACTTACATTTGTGCAGTCCTGTGGAAGTCAACAGGCCAAGTTAATCCCTCTTGCAACTTCAGTAATTGGGATGAATTTTGTTCTCTTGCTGTGTGTGTGTGTGTGTGTGTGTGTATAATATCACGGGGGTTTCCTGGCTGTAACAGCGAGCAGAATATGGCCTTGTGCATCTGTTCCACTGACATGAAGTCTTCTAGAATCTTGCACAGTCCAGCTACCATATAATTAAAATGTTTAGCTAACTGCACCGGGGCATGAAATGTAAGGTGTACTTCTAACAAATGTGCCTAGATTTATAAATTATGCTCTAATTAAATTGTCTTATCTGGGAGTGACGCTAGATTAAAAGAGGAATGTCACAAATGATGTTCATTCGCATAATACTCTTCCCATTGAAGAGATTTCTGAAAAATGAAATCCTTTCAGATAGGGTCAAACCTTGGTACCAGGAAAGTCATTGAAATTTTTACTGTTGACTTCAATAGGACCAGGATTTGGCCCATAGAAATTTGTGATTCCCTGAAATATATAGGCATTAGAGTGCATTGCTCCCTGCTGAAAAGTCTATAGCAGAACAACAATATTTCAACAATCATAGTAGGTGCTCTGAAGTAATAAGAATAATAATTAAATATTGATTTGCACTTTTTAATAGGGTTTGACACCTTCAGAGTTCTGTACAAATATTGACTAATTTGTCTTGTCATTATCAAAGAGTAAATGCTCTTAGTCTCTTCCACTTCTACAGGTCAATCCTTTGATCCATGAAGAAAATATATTTATTGAGGAGTAAATAGAAATCTAGGGCCTTGGCTACACTTACCCGCTAGTTCGGCGGCTGGCCATCGAACTTCTGGGGTCGACCTATCGC